TATATATATATATATATATATATATATATATATATATATATATCTCCTATGTCAATTTTTCTTGACCCTGGCCAGTGGCCAGTAGCTCACATATTATACCATCAAACAAACTCACTCTTGTTGTTCTTTTTTGTTTTATTTTTTACTTCATTCACTTCTTTCAAATTTAACTTTTGTAGAAACAATATATTATATGATTATTTATACTTATACACAAATGTATGAAATTTACCACTCATAATTTTCTGGGTTAACACATACTGAAGGATCTTATGGTTTGTAAACACATTTACGTGAACACCATACAAGTAATGTATCCAAAGCTACTACGAATGCAAGATCGAGGTCATGAGTCAGATAGTTCTTCTCATGCACCTTAAGTTGTCTAGAAGCATAGGCTATAACCTTACATCAATGCATCAACACACAACCTAGGCCGATCTGGATGCATCACAATAGATCACATAATTGTCTTAACCCTCTGGTGGAGTCAAAATAGAAGCTTTAGTCAACCTAGTTTTCAGTTATGAGAAACTCTTCTCACAATCATTTCACCACTGGAACATAACTTTTTAGGAGACAACTTAGTCAATGGAGAAACAATAGATGAAAATCCTTCTACGAACCTTCTGTAATAACTAGCCAAACCAATGAAGATTCTAATATCTTTAGGAGAGGTGGGTTTGGCCCATTTTTTCACTGCTCTAATTTCTGACAATCCACTCAGATCCTTTCGCTGGATACTAGATGCCCACTAAAACCAACAGATCACAACCAAAACTCACATTTGATGAGCTTAGTGAATAACTGGCAATCTTTGAGAGTTTGTAGGACAACCCTCAAATGAGTCGCATTTTATTCCTCACTCCTAGTGTAATTAAGGATATCATCAATAAAGACGATAACAAACAAGTCCAAATACTTCTTGAACCATATTTTCATCAAATCCATGAAAGTTGCAGGAGCATTGGATAGTCCAAATCAGTGGTGGGGGTTCAAAGTATAAAGAAGAAGTTCAGGTGGTAATGTAAGTGCGCGGTGAGTGTAGTAGTCCCTCAGCATGCTTTTTGTACAAGAATCATTGACACTACACACCTTACGGACTTAAAGACTCAATATTAGCGGCGTAACAAGCATGAAATATTAAAATAATGCACCACATACGGAGGAAACTTCCAACTATATCACAACACAATTAATGCAATAGAAAGGGGGTACGAACTACATATATCATCAATCCAATATGCATGAAATTCAACATTTCTCATGTTCGTAGAAGGGAATACCTTCCCCCAATAAAAGCATTCTCAACATGATAATATGGAGTCAATATAAAATCTCATAAAACATAGTAAAGCATGTTCACCAATTCTTTTCATGAAGTTAAATATGCAATATCATACTAAAATGCACAACAACACGAGGAGCATATAAATCATGATAATATTAATTTATACTAAACATGATTCCTCACAAGAACATGCAAATCTCAAAAAAATAATGTATAAACTCGTACAATACACATGACTCCGAAATCACTAAAACTAAAAAGGAACTACTTACCTCAAGCATAAATAGGAGTACAAGGAAAAAGATGAGGATAACGTGATTTCATATTGGACTCGGCCTCCCAAGTATCACCCTCAATTAATTTGTTCCTCCATAAGACTTTAACAGAAACTATCTCTTTGTTCCTTAACTGCTTAACTTTCCGGTCTAAAATCTCAACTACATCTTCTTCATAGGAGAGGTTTTCATCAACTCATAAACCCTCTATGGGAAGGATAAAAACCGGTGTTGGGTTTTATTTGCCCTAAATTTCTTACCATAAATAGGCTTTCCTTGTAGGAAAAGGTTTTTGATTGACTAATCTTTTTCTTGTAGGAAAAGGTTTAGGACTCTATAAATAGAGGCATGTTCCTTCTAACTTAATCAGCATTCACAATGTAGTCTAAAAGGCTTTGAGAGTTTTGGTTAGGGGGAGAATTAATGGGTCACAAGCTTGATACGTTATCACTTGTGTGAACCTCCTATGTATTTCGAATGAATTTGTTGAGGTTGTTTCCCTCTGTATTTTGTACTCTCATATTTATAGTGGATTTCTCATCTCCTTTGTGGACGTAGATCGATTGACCGAACCACGTTAAATCTTTGTGTCTTTTGGTATATTTCTCGTTGTCTTCTTACTCGTGATCTTTCGAGGTTTGCTTTGCTAGCTTCCGCATTTACACCTGCTTATTTCCGGTCCTAACAAGTGGTATCAAAGCCAGATTCAATGACGGAGTCAGGTTTAGTTGTTTGATAATCGATGATTGAACCAGGTTAGAAAGATCTGTTCATCTTGGCGGTGTAGTTCTAGTAGTAACTTTTTTGACAGTACGATTTGTTGGAGAAATTGTTTTAGAGATATTCTTTGCGTTGAGACATAAATTTTGCAAAGGAGATTATGGAGAGGAGAAGCAAGTTGTTGAAGATTAAGTCAAGAAGGTGGACAAATTTATTTTGTCAGAAATTCAGGCCAAGGGGGAGATTTGTTAGGTTTTATTTGCCCTAAATTTCTTACCATAAATAGGTTTTCCTTGTAGGAAAAGGTTTTGGATTGACTAATCCTTTTCTTGTAGGAAAAAAGGTTTAGGACTCTATAAATAGAGGCATGTTCCTTCTAACTTAATTAGCATTCACAATGTAGTCTAAAAGGCTTTGAGAGTTTTGGTTAGGGGGAGAATTAATGGGTCACAAGCTTGATACGTTATCACTTGTGTGAACCTCCCATTTATTCCGAGTGAATTGGTTGAGGTTGTTTCCCTCTGTATTTTGTACTCTCATATTTATAGTGGATTGCTCATCTCCTTTGTGGACGTAGGTAGATTGACCGAACCACGTTAAATCTTTGTGTCTTTTGGTATATTTCTCGTTGTCTTCTTACTCGTGATCTTTCGAGGTTTGCTTTGCTAGCTTCCGCATTTACACCTGCTTATTTCTAGTCCTAACAACCAAGTCACCAATATACTTCTTGAGCAT